CTAAGGGAAGGCTCAGGGTCACCTGATCCAGCCCTAACTATAAGCTTTATCAAAAAAGAACGTCTTAAGTCTAATCTTCAAGGTAGAGAGGTAGTCTGCCTCCTGAACTGAGACTGGGAGTTGGTTCCATAGGAGAGGAGCTTGATAGCTAAAGGCTCTGCCTCCCATTCTGCTTCTGTGGACTCTAGGAACCACAAGTAAACCTGCACTCTGAGAGCGAAGTGCTCTGTTAGGATGATAAGGCTCTACGAGGTCTTTAAGATATGATGGAGCCTTGTCATTAAGGGCTTTGTATGTTAGGAGAAGGATTTTAAATTCTATTCTGACTTTTACAGGGAGCCAGTGGAGAGAAGCTAATATGGGAGAGATATGATCTCTCTTGCTCGTTCCTGTCAGTCCTCTGGCTGCAGCATTTTGGATTAACTGGAGGCTTTTTAGGGAATTATTGGGACATCCTGATAGTAAAGAGTTACAGTAGTCCAGCCTGGAAGTAACAAATGCATGGACCAGTTTTTCAGCATCACTTTGAGACAGGATGCTCCTGATTTTCGCAATATTGCACAGGTGAAAGAAGGCAGTTCTAGAGACTTGGTTTATGTGTGATTTAAAGGACATATCCTGATCCTGGAATTTCAAAATAAAAGCCCCTGATTACAAATTAGTAAAGGTTTCACATCTTATTAATAAGTTTTGCATACTTTCAGCTAGAAAACCCATCCAGCTATCAAAATGTTCAGTTCTTCTAGGACATTCTTGCTTGTATTTTTCTTTTTTCTAACATTTATAGTTTTGAAATATTCCATTTTGTTTTAGCAAATGGTAGTGATTTAAAGGACATATCCTGATCCTGGAATTTCAAAATAAAAGCCCCTGATTACAAATTAGTAAAGGTTTCACATCTTATTAATAGGTTCTGCATACTTTCAGCTAGAAAACCCATCCAGCTATCAAAATGTTCAGTTCTTCTAGGACATTCTTGCTTGTATTTTTCTTTTTTCTAACATTTATAGTTTTGAAATATTCCGTTTTGTTTTAGCAAATTGTGTCCCATTCAAATGAATGGTAAAATTTTTCACATCTTAAGTTAAGCATACTTTCAGTTAAAAACACAATTTCAACTGTTACCTAGAAAATTGCATTTTCTCACGAAAATGTGTATGGATGCTGAGTGCTGAAAGATCGCATTGAAAATGCTGAACAGCCTACCAGTATAAATGTTACAAACAAGAAAAATACAAGCAAGCATGTCCTTAAAAAGCTAAACATTTTGATATCTGAATGGCTTTTGTAGCTGAAGAAATTAGGTGACAAAAACAGATGGAAGAACCCAGAATAATAAAAAATAAATGCCAGGATAAACAGTTTAGATGCTTCACAGCATCCACACAATGATAAAAACAGGATAATAAGAGTGTGGCTGCTGACTCAGCATCCACGCAATAAAGAACAGCATAACAATAGTGTGGTTGCTGAATCAACATCCACACAAAAATAAAGAACAGGATAACAACATTGTGACTGCTGACTCAGCATCCACACAATAAAGAACTGGATAACATAGTTATTATTATTGTGTGGATGCTGCTGAATCAGCATCTACATAATAATAAACAAACAGGAACTATAATGTCTCACTGATTACATAGCTTGGTCACAAGATATGAGAACATATTTTGTTGTTGTACTCAGTCATCTCATTTCTTTATTTACAAGGAAATATGTATGAATGAGTGTGTCTGTAGAGAAACGAGAAACATACCAGAGTTCATCAGTTGGCCAGTTTTAACTGCAGTCCTTTGGCAAGGTGCTCAAAAACCAATGAAGTGACAAAAAAGAAAATGCTCAGGATATCAAACTGACAACAAAAGCAAAAAAAAAAAACCCCTAAAAAATCATCTGTGCAAGACAGGGCATGACTCGCAATGGAACATTTAAATGACCACATGTTACACACAGCCAAGCAAAGCAGTATAAACACACTGGACCTGTAATAGCCAAGCAGAGCAATGAGACATAGACAAAGTTAAATGTTAATGACCAATAGTACTGATCTTAAAAAGATGTTATTCACTGAAAACTGCAGCATTAGTTTGGTTGTGCATTCTTTTCACTTCATCTAAAGTTTCTTTTGCTGTGTTCAGACTAAATATAGTAAATGATGGTAGTGAATGTCCTGTATAGCTCATAGCGTATGGTATCCATAGCAACAATCCAAAGCAACAAGCAATCATTTAACCACCCACATTTATCATGTAAAACTGGAGCTGGCCTGAGTCAGTGGAGGCTGTGGGTGGGGACAGGCTCGAGTCAGGATCAGGATCACTTCCTACTGGGTTCTCTGGGTATTTTTGGAAGGTGGAGTTTGCTGACCAATTTCTGTTGTAAATTGTTTCTTTGTGTAGTGTTCTGTTTCTGTTCCCCAGTATTTACATCAAAAGAACAACCCATGGTAAATGTTAGCACTGCCCACGGCAGCAGGTCTATAGATTTGTCTCAAGAGATTTTAAATCCACCTTCACAGCCACCAGATGCCTCCTTCCACTGTGCGGTGAAAGCTTTATTTTCCTCAAATAGGGGGAAAATAATATATTGTAGTCATCACAGAGACTCTGCTGCTCTCTGTGACCTCCAGATAAAAACGAGACTGAGCTTGAGTTGAGTCAAGGGAGAGTATGTGGGAATTGAGGCCAGATGAGAGGTCCTGTTTATAGCTATGCCATTTTGCTGTCTGGAACCAAATAGCTGCCCACACCCACATCACACCTCTCCCTGGGGTAGCTGACCTCCTCTCTCCTCCCACACCTCAAATATAAGCAAAACCATGCACAGAAGCACTCCATCTGGCAGCATATACTTTGACCACAGTTTCTTCTACCTGCTCATCTACATAGTTAGAAAGATGTGGGAATTCAGTGGATGTGTTTTTATTTGTTTATTACAGTTGTTTTTTCTGTTTTGACAAATTAGATGTTTTCCTGTATAAATGTATGCTTTATTCTTTCAAAGGAAAGACATTAGAGTCAATAAAATTATCTTTTATATTTCCTTTTAAAATCAAACTGCTTCATTGGCATGAAACAGAAAGGAGTGTGAGATCAACACACATCCTGGCACCTCTAGTCTTTTCTGTTAGCTTAGAGAAAGACAAAGCAAGAAAGAAAGAAAGCAGAACAGCACTAATCTTTGCCCTCAAGCCCCAGGTCAATTCAACCATGATGAAATAATGAAACTATTTTCTAGTTGTTTACTTGGAGAATTGTCTTTCAAAATAATCAATATATAAGAGCATAAGTCAGGTAAAGTCAGGTCAGTTTCATTTATACAGACCAAAATCACAAATTTGTCTCTGAGGGCTTTATAGCTGACGGCACCAACCTTTGATTCAATTCACCTAAGGAAAAATAAGTGCCTTCAAGACTTTAAACCTAACCCTAATCCACAGAATGTCACATTAAGCAAATAAACTACTGCCACTCCCACCACCACCACCACTACTATTACTACATAACATTAAATAAATATTTCAAAGTTTAAAGAAATAAAGTGCAATGTGTTAAAGAGCTTCAGCCCTGTCTCTGTTTCAGTTTTGAGCATCCATAAGCGTCCAGTGGTGGGTCATGCAGACATCAGCTTCCCCATGAAAGGCTGGAGGGGCATGGTGGACTGGGCCCGTAGCTCTGAGGACAGAGTCACCATCCCCAAAAATATCCTGTCCACTGGCAAGCCAGGTGAGAGCTGCATACCACAGCAAGGAAGTACTGTATATATGACAATGATGTTTGACATGTCTATCACTGCACTTTTATTATTTTGTAAATAACTGACAAGTAAAGAGTGATAACACATTATTCTGTCACACAATGCCTGACAGTAAACATATTCCCCAAATATTGTCTGCCTTCTGTTTGAGAGTTCAAGAATGTGTGTGATTGTGCTGTGTGTGCCTTGTTTATATATACTAGTGGGGACGGAACACTGGGAGCACACTGCATTGGGCCCCATGACTACTTTGACAGGTTAGAGCAGGTGTCAGCTTTGGTTAAGGTTCAGCAAGTAGCAGTTCTGGTTAAGGTTAGGGTAAGTCTCCTGATTTGTAAGTCTATGTACAAACCCTGCAAGTATGTGCATGTGTGTGTTTGATTGGGAGGGGTCTGTCAAGACAAAAAAGCAGAAATAATGTAGCAAACAGCAGTTGATTTATGAAACAGTGTTCACTGCCACTAGTCTGCACAGCAAAGCACCCTGCTCAGATAAACACATGCAGAGATGGTTGTATTTAATGTTGCAAATAAAACATGTATGAGAATAAAATCATTTAACACCACCCGTTGTTCAGCAGCTGTACAACAAATAGACACATTGTCTTCAATATGCTTCAAGTAAGTTTCATAAAATGTTAATACAAAGACCATCTGTTTTAACAGATTGATGGCACTGAGTTGGAAACAAGAACGCTTATGTCCTTATTTGTTGTTTACAGAAAAAAGAAATCTTAAGGCAGGGACAAAATAAGGGCATGAAAACCATAAAGATTGTGTGAATGTGTGAAGATTTACAATGTGTGATGTGCAGATTTGCTGCTTTCTTCAATTTCTGGCTATTATTATTTAAATGCCTTTGTTTGATCAGACAAAATCATTATATTACGTTGGTCATACTCTAGTTATATATGTACAGAGGCTAGATAATAAAGGGTGTGTATTTGCCTGCAATTATGTGCCACAAAAACAATTTCACCTATTCAGATAGTTGATAATTCATTTCAAA